CGGGCGGGCGCTGCGGCGGCCCGCGCGCCGTGCCGAAGGCCTCCTCGCTGGACGAGTCCGGCGTGCCGCCGCGCGGGCCGTTGGCCAGCRGCACGCCGCCGTTGAGCAGCCGGTAGTCGGGCGGGCGGCCCGGCCCCGTGCCCTCGCCCGCCTCCGACGGCGTGGAGGCCTCCAGGAAGGAGCAGAACTCCCAGCTGTCGGAGAGGATGTCGGCGGCGAGCAGGTCGAGCGCGCCCAGCTCGCCGCCGCCCGTGCCCTTGTCGCTGCTCGAGGTGCTGCTGGCCGTGGCTGTGGTCCAGTCGTCGGGCTCCAGCTCGAAGTCGAAGTCCGAGGTCAGCCGGTCGATCTGGCTCACCACCTGCGGGCCGCATCCGCATGGTTACCGCAGCGGGAGCCGCCGTGCCCACCCCGAGCCCTCCTTCTCCTCCAGCCCTCTGCTCCCGCGGGAGCGCAGACACCCCAAAGGGCTCCCCCGTGTCCCCCAAGCCCCATCCCCTCTGGACCCCCCAGGCCTTGCCGGGGAAGCGGTCGTGCCGCGGACACGGGGCAGGACGGGAGCACGCAGCGGCGGCCGCTGCTGGGGCGTGAATAAAACAGGCCCTTAAAAATTTAAAATAATAGACTGCCGTGTCCTAGTTCGCGATGCAGCACGCGCCGAGCCCAGCGACTCCGCAGCCCTGGCTGCTTCTCAGACGGCCTCGGCGCCCGCGGCTCCGCGCCGAGCGTGGCCACCGGGAGCCGCGGCTTGGCCACCCTTAGGTGCAAGGTGACCCGCAGCAAACCCTCCGGCCTGTCCTCCCTGCGTGTCCTCCCTGTGCTCCTCGCCCGAGCTCTTGGGAGACCCGGGACGGCTGCAAACCACCTGAGCAGATGGCCACGAAGCCCTGAAGGCACCCGAGGGGCTCCAGATGGTGGAAGAGGCCTGCGTGTCCTAAGGGAAGGTGGCAGCACGCCTGCCCGCGTGGAGAAACAGGTTAGAGAGGGGCGAGACAGGAAGCTGGGATGTGCTCCCGTCCCCGCGTCGGGGAGCCGGCGCGCTGTCCCCTCTCCGAGCGCCCGGACACGGCGCTGGAGGCAGGAGCCGCCTTTCTCCTGCCCCCCGGCTCCCAGCGGGTCCTTGTCCTGCCGCCTCCTGGGGTYGGCAGCTGCCCGGGAGCAGGAGGGGACCCAGCTGGGCTGCAAGGGACAGAAGTTTCGGCACGGCCACCTCACCCCAAAGCACATCAGCTGCTGAGACGCACGAAGGYGGCAGCGTGGCCTCGCAGAGCAAGCCCTTTGCCACGTGTGTCCAGCCTTGGTCGTCCGTCCCGCTCAGAGGTGCAGGCAGAGAGAACCAGGAGGTGACTTTTCTGTGAAGGTTCAGATCGGGCCTCGGGCTTGCTTTGACGGAGAACAAACTCTGCTCACCTTTGCCGAGATGTTCGGCTGCTGCTCACAATACATTAGCTGTCATTTTGCTAATGCTGCGATGTGTTCTTGAACATCACCTTTAAGGTCGAGGTATTTGCTTTTATAGGATAACTGTGCATTTATTTTTGGAGGCAGAACTATAGATCAGAACAAAGCGAAATCTGGGAGGAAGTTACGGTCCCAGGGCTTGGTATTTGCTCCGCACCCCTGGGCAAGGTTCAAGGAGGGCTTCCTGAAGCACCAGGGTCTTCACCGTGTGGATGTCCCTCTTCAATCCTTTTGTAAGCTCTTTTCTGAATGACACGAGACGTGCTGAGCACGGAAAGTGTGGTTTCTGGCGATCAGAAATGGTGTGTTAGAAATCTTCACCCGGCCTCATGCATCCCTAAAGATGTTGTTAGCTCCTGACGCATCAATCTGAAGGGTCTGATCAGAGGYAATGAGCTTGGAATAGGGCTTTTCCCTTCACAAACACAGATCRAGTTGTTGAACTTTCATAGCACTTATCTCATGAACACCTGCACATCCTCCAGTTAATTAAAGCGAGATATTTGTTTTGATCACGACTTGATTTAGGCTGCTTTCGTTAACAGCGGGGCCCCTGGCAAACACGAGCAGGGCACCAGCGACAGACCCTGACAAGGAGTCTCACGGTTTTTAATCCTGGTTCAAAGAAGGAGGGGTTCTGCTTCCAGATTAGCGGGTCACAGAGCTGTTCAGAGGCGAGTTGTCAGCCGCCGTTTCACAGGGATTGAGGGGTCTCTACGCGATTTGCCCCCACGAATAGTTAGTCGCACGATGCTGAGCAAAAAGCCCCCGTGGGGACGAGCTGGGCGAAACGCTCCTGCCCCAACGGAGCTGGGAGGGAGGATGCTGATGCTGAGCTGGAGCTTGCAGCGCAGCCGGCCTCTTCCCACAGGGATGGCCCTTCGTGCCGGGCAGGGCGCGCGGAGCCCGGCAGATGGGCCGACATCTGGGCTGCTCAGCCCAAGTCCCCGCGTGAACCTGGGCCTCCTCCCGCCGCGAACGGGGTGCAGGGACCCCCCGGCACCCGCTGCCACCCCAGGACGCCACAGGGCTGCCAGACCCCGAGCACGCRCAGGGACGGAGCAAAACCCGCCGCCCCGCTGCCACCCCAGCCTGCGCCCGCCGCGTGTCGTTTCTTGGCTGGTATTTCTGCACGGCTCCGTGCGCGCGCGCGGCATTTCTCTTACGTGGGAGGCAGCGCACGAAGCGAAACCCAAAAGCAGCAGCGTTTCTGAGCGCGTATTTTTGGCAGGGTGGCCAGGCGTCCTGCCCCGCTCCGGGGGAGCTGGCGGGGAGCCCGTGTTCTCTGTGCCACCGGCACAGCCAGCCTGGAGGGCGACCAGGCAGATGGTGCTGCTGAGCTCAGGTTGGCCGCACTGCTGGACCCGCTCCTGCTTGGTGGCCCCAGTGCTCAGCTCCTCCCCGTGGTGCCCTGCGCAGTGCGGGTCCTGCCCTGGCCATGACAAGGGCAAATCCGTGCTGGTGCGGTCACCATCCCAGCACATTGGGCTGCAGAGCTCCCTTCGCTCCCTCCTTGGTCACCCTGGACGCCGGCAGCAGATGGATGCTCCGGTCCAGCYGCTCCTGCATCACCTCCCAGGCACGCGGCGCACACAGCGCCCCGGGCTGCAGCTCCGGACCTCGCGGGGCGCGCGGCGCTGCCGTCYTGCCCTGGCGCTGGGGCCACCAACACGGCCACCAGCGAGGCCAGCTGTGGAGCCACAGGCTGCCCGGCTCAGTCGCACCAGGAAACCTGGGGCTGAGGTGCCAAGGACTGACGCCTAGGAGTGTGTTGACCGGGAACATGGCAAGGAAAGGTGAGGGAAAACATCTTTCCAGGGAAAAACGYGTATAGCCTAGCCAGGATCGAGTTTTGGCTGGAAAATGGAGGTGTGCTCCAGCCACCAGACCCTAAGCACTTGGAGAGCAGGAGCAAGGTCCCTTTTTGGAGAAGCTGGGGGCTTCTGAGGTCACTAGCACCCAGTAAGGGCCTGGACCACCAGGACCTCCACCCACACCCTGCCTGTGAACCCAGGAGCCCATGGGAGCTCAGGTGGGGGCTCCACTGCCTTCCTGGAGGCTACTGGTGCTCGGGATAGACCTGTGCTGCAGGTAGCTCACGTCCTGGATGGACCCCTTGGGTATGTGGCATGGCCTTGTCTCCAGTCTCTCCTCCGCTGCTCACCCATCCCTCCCTTCTTTCTCCCTTCTTCTCTTTAATGCGGGAGAGAAGGGGGGGAATTTGAGGAAAGTGAGGGGGGAAGAGCACGTGGCCTCAGTGACAAAACAAAGATCTGGGAAAAGAGCCATCCCTGGGAACCCCCCAGCTATTATTATTTTTTAATAAGTCAGAAAATGGTTTCACTGAAGCCGTCAGCTAAAACGAGACTCCCTCTGTTTCAGGAAGGCTCTGCCGCGGCCGCTTCTCCCTGCGTGATTCCAGCTCCAGGTTTGGAGACGGCTTCTCCCACCACTTCACCCTGGCCCTCCAATCCCACCGGGTCCCCCTCTCCCAGCAGCGACGGGGGGTTTTTTCCAAGCCCGTTTCAATAAGGGGATTGGGGCCGAGGGGACGGGGCGCGCGCTCTGGCCGGACGCCGCACTCGGGGACGGCTTCGTGATCCACCACACGCCGTCCCCGTCCCCCGATTAGTGTCACATCATCCACGACTCACGCGGGACTATTTTTAGGAGCGCTCTCCCCACTCCTGCTATTTTGAACGGCTGTGGGGGGGTATTAAGTACCTGCGTGACACGAGGTACCTGCTGAGGCCTGGATTTAAATGTAAAGCRGGATTTGGGCTCTTCTCCCTGCTGTTCCTCTCACCATGGACCTTTCAATGGTGAGGGGAGCCTTATTAATGGAGATGGTGGCTCGATAGACAGGGGATGGAGGCCAGTCCATCTCCCCACCACTGGGCTGGGGTCTCTAGGCAAGACGCTGGTGACAGCCGTGCTGCCTGCCACCCACCAGGCACGTGTCCCTTGTGCACCTACAGGTGACCGGCCCCGTTTCGTGCCCCTCTGGCCATTGCAGGAGCCTCTCGGAGGGGGAGGACGTGATGCCCAGACCCATGGTCAAGGCCATCGGCTCCTCCACGTCCCCGTGACCGCTGCCACAAGCCCAGCACCTGGCAGCTCCACATGCCAAATCCTTTCACTCCATCCTCTTCCCTCTTGGCCACTCGATAACCTACGTTCCCACCWCTGACTTTTCAAGGAAACCTTTTCCCTTCTGCCTCAAGACCTTCATGAGAGGGTCTTGGAGCACCTGCCTTCCTTGAGGGTTCATGTATGGTCCTCAATATACCTCAAGCATCACAGGAGGCTTTATGAGAAAAGCCTGGGATGTCCCCACTTGGTGGCTTCCCTCCCCAGCTGGATACCTGGGCTGGCAGATGTTCCACATCTGGAGCCTTTTTTTTAAAAAAAAATGGGAGTTTTAGTGGTTAGCTCAGCTGCAAACCGAGCACCTTCCACCTGGGTCTCCAGCTGCCGGTCGGGACCCGCACAGGCTCYGTCACGGAGCCATCGGCTCTATGGGAAGCCCCATGTCCAGCTGTGCCGAGCGCCTGTTGGTGCCGGCCAACGACCTGCCTCCCTCCGCGCTCTTCCTCTCCGCGGGCCAAGCATGCAGGGAGCCGGAGCGGGAGCACGCTGCCCCCTTGGAAAACCCCATTCCCGAGGGGTTTGACACCGTTTCCTTGAAAACCAGCTCCTGCGTCGCTGGGAAAATAGCGACTTGAGCCTCCCTGCAACCGAGCAGCCAAACTTTGCCAGTCGAGGGGCCTCCCTTGTCTCCCCAAACGCTTTCTGGAGCGGGCAAGGTGAGTGAATATTTAATAGTGAATAAATGATTAATTGGAGCTTGCTTGCAAGCCAGCCAAGGAGAGCTGGGTTTGGGGGCTGCTCTCCCCACGCTCACACGTACAGGTGATGGTGCTGGTTGGATGTTCCGGTGCACCACGGCCCTTGGGATGGTTTTCCATAGAAAACCAGTGCCTTCCACCCCTAAATAGCCCCCCCACACCTCTCCTGAGCGCGTTATTGCAGCAATCAGCTGCCTCCCTCCCCTCAGCTTTCCAAGGTGTTCATGGCTAATCACCTATTGATTGCAACCCTATTAACGTATTTATTATCATTAATGGTCGCATCTTCTAATCTTCCTTCCACCCAAGACTCTGGGACAACGTGGAAAGCGGGAGCTGGGGAACCTCTGGGAGCCGCTTATCCCTCACGGGGACCCAGCGGATCCCGCTGCGGTACCGGGTGCTACCGAGGGGTGCTGGGCTGCGACAGCAGGGACGTGTAGGGGCATTTAGAGGCTCTATGCAGACCCACCTACTTAATCCCACCCTATTTTGGGGGGATTAAAGGGCGCGGTGGAGGCGCCTCCGGTCGCTGCCTCCCGCGCGCTGCCGCTTCCAGCGCGCCGTCTCAGGCAAAGCTTTAATAATCATTTTCCCCGCACATAATACAGCCCTGCCTTGGAGTGCTGGGGGATAATTATATACACAAAAGGCAAGCGAGAGGGAGGGAGAGAGGAGCGGGGTGGGGAAGGAAACCAGGAAAACATCAGCCGGAATAAAATGGACATGGAAAACAACCTGGGAGCTTTGCTTCTAGGCCTGCTGCGGCCCAGCTTGCCTGACAAGTGTGCCGAAATCCCAGGGGAAGCCTGGACCCCTCTGCATTCCAGGGGTCTTTTCCTAAGCCTTTCCACCAAAAGGAGCCTGGCCAGAACACTAAACAACTAGTTACAACTAGGGGCCCTGCAGGTGCCAAGGGGCATTAATGGCCCTGAGCAGCCCCACCTGGGACCCCCAGGAGTTCATTTAAGCTCAGCCTGGAGCTTCATCCCTCCCCGGGCTTTGAGCATCTCCCAAAGCACCAGGGCTTTATGCAAAGCCAAGAGCTGAGCGGGTGCTTTCCTCCTAGCAGGGACCTGCGGGCCCGAATCCCATCCTGGTGCAGAGCGACGGGCGCCGCRATCTCCAAAACGCGGCTCGGGGCGGCGGCGGCTCCAGGGGCTCCTTCCTGCAGAGCAGGCGACTCCAAACCGGAGAGGAGAAAGGGTAGGGAAACCTGGTAGGGAAACCCAGGTGCTTATTTCCTCTTTCATCAGGTTGATTTCCTAGAGCTCACAATTTGCCATCTGCTGCCTAGCATGTACTTTTCTGGGTGGGCTTAGATGAGATCTGCACGTAACTTGCTCCCATCGATTTGCAAAACAAGGAAGTGAATTTCCGGAGCCTCTTCCAGCTGGAAGCCGCTCGTTGCTCAGCGGGACAGAGGAACCCGGCTCTCCCTGTGCGCGTGATGCCGCAAGGTGATTCCTCCCGGTCGCTCGTTGCTTCTTGTACTTTGGTCTGCAACGACGAAACCTGCAGCAGCAAAATGTGAAGTCTTCACGGCTGCTTGGGCTGTGCACGCAGAGCCTCGTGCCGCTGTGCGGTGTCTCCGCTGCCTGCCGTGGCCCCGAGTTTTACCCGGCACTGCATAAACGTGACAAGTCTCCRTGAAGTTTTGTGGAAGTTGTTTGGAGCTGTTAAGCTTCAGGTCCCYTCTCCTGGTGGCTCGACCAGCTCGAACCCTAGACCATGGGCTCCTCATGGATGCGCCGCCTTGTCCAAGCGGGTGGGAGAGCGAGCTCCCTGCCGTGGGAGGCACGGCGCYGCGTGCCGGCACCGATCCCGCTTCCCAATGGAAGGTGAGGCGTCTGCAGCAGGGATGCTCCTATGGGCATAATGGTCCCCATCCGAGCTCACCCTATGACCCCATGCAAGGGGCTCTAAGGTGGGGCATAAATTGCCCTCAATGCCTGCTAAAGGCCCGTCGATGCTCTGGGAGCAGTGGCCAAGCTCGGGCTGAAAGCGGCAGGCAGAGCTCTTTCCCTTTTTCCTTTATTATTATTTTTGTAATCCTCCAGAGGTTTGCTGCAGGGCCTTCGGGTTCCCCCGTCGGTGTGTCGGAGTTRAGCTGTGTTTCAATGAAAGCACTTTGTTTTTTCCACCCAAAGCACCAGGAGGAGGAGGAGGAGACGCCTCCAGCCGCGTCGGGACCCTGCCGGCAGCGGGACCCCCAGGGACCAAGGGCAGCCGGCCCAAGGACCCACTGCATCCCTCAGGGGACAACGGGGCCACGTGAGGGCAGGAGCTGTCACCTCGTGGCAGGCAAGGGAATGATGGCTTTGAGCATCGCTCCTGGTGCCTCTGGAGCAGCCACCGGTGTCACCCGGCTGCTTCCCACGTGGATACAGCCCYGTGCCGAGTGTCATAGGGGGTAAGCGAGGCTCTGCTCCAGAGGTGTCCAGGTGAATGTCCTGCTGTGAGGCGGGACACACATCCCCTTGCCAGGTTGGCGGGGCTCTGCGTTCCCTCTGGGATGAGCCTGGTGCCACGCACGGCCCCGGCAGGACCCTCAGCACCCGGCTACATCCACACGTCCGGCGCAAACCCCATAGACACACGTACCCCATGGCAAAGCGCGAGCTGTCGCGTCCAGCACTCGCTCCTCACTGCCTGCAGCTTCCCCTGGCGCCCGCGGGAGCAGCCGAAACCACCGGCCACGTCCAGGTCCCTTTTTCCCCCTCCACCGACTTCAAGGACTTGAGGGCTGAGCTTTGAGCCCCAGCAATTGCCACGCCAAGGAGGGCGGCAGCGCCCCTGCACTGCCGGGAAACTCCAGCCACGCGCTTGGGTGTGTGTGTGTACGTACACATACAGACACAGTACATTCTTATATGTTTTCACTGGGAGCAGCAGAAGTGCATCCGACAGCCCAGCTCCAGGGCAGCTGCTGGCTTTCCTGCATTACGGCACGCAGCCCTGCATGCCCTCGTGCCGGGCACTGCCACCTGCCTGGCYGTGCCTCTCTGCGCTCCTTGTGCTGCCCCTGCATCCCAGGGGAGGATTCCCCTGCCCCGAGACCCTGGCTCAAGGGCCCCATTGCCCCTCGCTTTCAGCAATCCCCACAAGGTAGTGAGGACCTTACATGTCTGGTGCAAAAGCAGGCGGCACCGGTGGGGATGCTGTGACCCTGGGTGCTCCTTCCAGGCCCTGCCGGGTGCTCAACCCAGCACCTTGGACGGAGCAGCCCGGCCAGGGCAACCCCAGCGGCCGCTCGGAGTCAAGGTCAACGTGCGGTTTTGTAAGCAGGGGCTGTCCCCAGCACGGGGGGAGGCCGGGGTCGATGCCAGGTGGTGGCTGGGGCTGCACAGCTGCCTTTGCTGGCCCGGAGCCCTGCAGCGCCCAGCCTGGCCCTGAGGGCAGAGGGATGGCATGGAGGGGAGCTGGGACCTGCAGGGCGAGCGGGGACCTGTGGGGTGAGCAGGGACCTGCACGTGCCTGCTCACCCGGTGACATCCTGCCTGCTCCATGGGGAACGCAACCTGCACCACGGCGCCCCACACACTGGGGTCACCCCCRCCTCACCCCCCAGGCCCCGGCGCTCTCCTACCTCCCGCAGCTCCTTGGCCACCTCCTTGAGCTCCTGCAGGATGCCTTCCAGCTGCCCGATCACCATTTTCATGCGGCTCCGGATGCGCTCCCTCTCGCCGTCGCTCCTGCCGCTGCTACAGTTGCCGCTGCCGCCGGGCTCTTGCGTGGGCTGCCGGTGCGGGGAGGTGCGGGAGTTCATCCTTCGCTAGCGGCCTGGGCCCGGGCTCGCCGCCGCGGCGCCGCTGTCCATCCTGCTCGCCCCGAGCCGGGGGGCCTGGCGTCCGCGCAGCCCCTCTCGCCCGGGCGCCTCTCACCATCTTAACGCCGCCGCTGCCCCCGAGCGAGCGCCCGCCGCGCCGGCCCGGCCTCGCCGCCGGCCAGGCCGCTCCGGAGCCCGGAGGAGGCAGCGGGGCGCGGGCCCGCGCGGGGCGGCGGGGTGCCGGGCGGCGGGACGGGCCGGCCCCGCGCTGTCCCCGCCGCCTCGCTGCTCCGCCGCTCCCGGCCGCGCTCCAGCGCTGCCGGCTCCCGGCGGGGATGGCGCCCGTCGCGTCCTGCGCCGCCCGGGGTCCCCTCCTGCGGGGACACACGGAGGGAGAGCGGGCGGGAGGCATCGCTGCGGGACCCCTGAGGGGGCTGCGGGAGGGACCCCCCCCGCGCCCCCCGCGGGGCCGACACGCGGACCCCGGCGCGGGCACTTACCGGCGCGGCGGCCAGATCCTCCTTCCCCCCGTGCCTGGCGCCGCTCCAAGCGCTTCCTTGGAGCTTTTATTTTTTTTTCCTTTTTTTTTTTTTTTCCCCTCTGCTCTTCCTTGCTTCCTCCCCCTCCTCCTCTTCCTCCTCCCCCGGGGC